ACCCCATTCACGGCACCTTCCGCAAGCTGGGTAACCCCGCTGGGCCGAGCACTGGCCGTCTGGGGTGCGGCGTCTTACTCCATAGTTGCTGTGAAAGGGGGGCTAGGGGATCTGAGGAGCCCGGCGGGGAGGGCTCCAGGCCACACCCCACACCCTGCTCATGTGAGAAATGGCCAGACCCCGCAAACACCCCTCCGCCCCAGGGGAGCGCCTGCCGCAGCACGAGGCGGGCGGGAGTTCAGCCTCCATGGAAGGAGGGTGGACCCTGGAACGGGGCGCGGCCAGCTCGCTGGTCCGGCTTTTCTCTGGGCCTTGGCAATCAGGCCAACCCCCCGAGGTGGGAAGGTGCTCACAAGAGGCGCCCACATTCCCCTCAGCGGGCCTGTCCGGGAATCTCGGCCGGCTCGCCCGCGCCCACGCCTGTCGGCTCAGGTGTGCCAGCCTCGCCCTGGCCCTGGCCGCGCTCCCCCATCCTCAGCCTCCACTGCTCAGCCTGAGGGTGAGGCCCGGCCTGCTTCCCGGGGCCTCTGCAGGGGGCAGGGGGCCGACCCGGCCCGGGCACCCACTCTCCCCAGGCCTCGCACAGGCCACGAAGCAGCCGACGACTCCAGGGAGGGGGCTCGGGCTTCCCGGCAGCAGGCAGGCACCCCCTCAGCGCTCTGCCCCAGCCACACCTCTCCCTGGGCCCACACACCCCCCGAGCTCTGACCCATCATCGCCCCAGAGGAGGCTGGCAGGGCCTCCCCTCCTGCTTCAGCGCCAGCGCTCCCTGCACACAACCAGCGTGGGGGCCGGATTCCCTCTTCCCGGGTGGGGAACACCTGTTCCTGGCCACTCTCGCACGGAGCAGCTCCCAGGGGGGCTGCACACACGTGTGATGTGAATGACGCAGTTTCGCGCTGGGCCCGGTGGTGCCGCAGAGAGGCCTGGGAGAGAGCAGGGGCGTTGCTACCAGGGACGCACAGAAACCAGAGTTCAGGGGTCAAGTTTCCCGGCACCCAGGCTGGCGAGCACCCCCTCTCCTCCATCAGCCGGGGCCTGCTGAGACGCCCCCTCCTTGGAGGCAGGGAGCACGCTCCTGCCCCCCCTCCTCCACGCCGCCCCAGCCAGGTGCGGGCCCCGGCCCACTTAGCCTCCATGACCAGCCTTGTCTCTCCTTGGAAGAAAAGTAAATAACTTCCAGATAACTTTTTAAGCAAATGGAGTTTATAATAAAAAGCACAGCAAAAGCTGCCGTTTGTTCAGCGGTAGGTGGTGTCCCGTTTCCTGCATGTTCTGTGGGGCTGAAATCAGAGAACTGTGGAGCAATGCTGGGGGTCGACCCGGTGCCCCCGCATTAGGAAAGTCTTCAGGGGCGTCTACTCGGCACGTCAAACCCGTGTCCCTGCAGTCTGGCCCAGGTGCCTGCAGACACACTCCGCGCACCGTGTCTCCAGGAAGGTGCAGAGAGTGAGCGACCTCTGGGCCGCTGCTCGTGCCAACCCAGGGGCAGGTGGGCTTGGTGGCCAGGCATGGTGGCCACTGCCAGCGCTGAGGGCACAAGGCAGCCACGGGACCACGCGAGTGGGACTCAGAGGGCGAGAGAAAGCAGCAGGCACAGGGAGAACATGGCTCGATTCTACTGACATGCACCCCAAGCCAGACAATCAGGTGACCTTACTCTGTGCGGGGAGCCAGGAAAGGCTCTGGCTGAGGAGAACTGGAAAGGACCGAGGGGATCTTCCCTGATGGGTGTGGTTTACACACGTGCGCGTGTTCGCCCAAAGCCATGAGATCGCACAGTCACCGGTGTGTGTTTTGCTGTTTGTAAATTTTATCTCAATAGAATGAAGACAAATTATACACATAAAAAAGTCTACTTGGCAGGTTTCGCTTTCCACGGTAGGAGGAGTTTGCATAGGAACTATATTAGGGTTCAGCAAATGAGGACATATATTAAGGCTTCTGGGAGCCAGGCTCCTCACTATTGGGCAGGGAGTTAAATATATGGAAAGGGAGAAAACATGTGCTCTAAGGTGTTGGAAGTCACACCAGCATGAGCTCATCATTTTATGAAGATGGTAGGTGAGTGGGAGGGTATATGCGGGGATGGATGGATGGATGGATGATGGGTGGATGATGGATGGAGGAAGGATGGATGATGGGTGGATGATGGGTGGATGATGGATGGATGATGGGTGGATGATGGATGGAGGAAGGATGGATGATGGGTGGATGATGGATGGAGGAAGGATGGATGATGGGTGGATGATGGATGGATGATGGGTGGATGATGGATGGAGGAAGGATGGATGATGGGTGGATGATGGATGGATGATGGGTGGATGATGGATGGAGGAAGGATGGATGGACAGAGAGATGGAAGGATGGGTGGGTGAAGGGATGGAGGGATGGATGGGTGGAGAATGGGTAGGTGGACATGTCATTCATATGTCTGTACACATACACATGTTCATCTGTCTGTCTATGAACAGCTACGTCTCCACGTCTCTATGTATTGCCCATCCTACCACCTTCACCTGATTCAATAAAAAGTAAGGTGAGGACCTAGCAGTAATGACACCACTATAACAACGGGCCCATCAAATGTCTGGTTCTTCGTTTCTAATGCCCCTTTCCTCGCCGCACGGGCTGCTGTCAGGCTCAAGGAAAGTCCAAGAGCACAGAGGAAGTCTCATGCCAGGAGGGCCAGAAGCACGCCAAGAATGGTGAGCACACATCTCAGAGACACACGTCAGCTCCCAGAGCCACCCGTTACATCCAGGACGATTCAAGCATGAAGGCAGTTGACAGCAGTGGATTACAACCCATTAAATGGCAACGAAACCTCATGATCCACACTGTTGGAAAAGAGAAGGCAGGAAGGAAACAACGGCGTTTGGAAGAGGAATGACAACAAATGACTAAGGGAGCTGGGGCCAGAGAGGCTCATGCATGCTGAGAGCAGCTGACACCTGACGAGAGTGGAACAGCCACACACCATCAGAGCGGCTTTCTAGATATTACTCATCCGTTACAAGGAGGAAACAGTAACTTTACAGAAGAGGAAATCGGTGGATCTTCAGCAAGTTTCATAGGATGGGCGACCACAGGCCAGCCCAGCACCCCGCGCCCCTGCAGTGGCCACTGAGCAGCCGGCACCGGGCGGGCCCTGCCCCACCACACAACTACAGCAAGTCTCGTCGAGACCCCATGGAGACCCCCGGGGGGCAATGGCTGCTGTCCGCCGGGGTCACGGAGACAGAGGCTGCGAGTGTGGCATGTGGCCCTGGAGGGGCATGGCGGCGAAGTGACGATCAGATGGGAGCAGGGCTGGGCACCGGACATGCGGACACAGGGGCCTGGCGCAGTATGGCGCCAGCGCTGCAGCAACACAAGGCGACCCACAGTGGGTGCCCGCTTAGGAAGAACAGCCGGCGTGTCTGGGCGCGCGGCCCCGGCAGCAGCACACGCTTTCACTGCTCGGCACGGGTCGGGAGGAAAGCCAAGCCGACGAGCTGTGCCTGCGCGCCTGCAGCTCACGCAGGGAGTGCTGTGGCTGGATGAGGGCTGGGGGAGAGAGCGGGGGCACACCCACCTGGGTGCACCCCGGCCCAGCCAACCTCTCCCCACGCGTCTTTCCCTGCGTACCTGAAATCTTGCAGTACAAAGTTAAAGATTAGAGAGTCCAAAGAACCTCCCACAGACTTCTAAGGAACAAACACATTCAGTATTGAAGTCAGCGGCACCGTGAGCCAGACGCAGAGATGAGGGGCGTCTGCGGCCTCTGGAAGGCGCGTCTGGGGGCCACACAGGCGGGGGCTGGTGGGAGGGCCCTGCCGGGCTGGCTCACCCTGGGCAGGGTGTTCTGCTCCCACCCCTGCCCACATTCCTCGCGGCGGGAGCGTGGGTGCCCATAACAATGGCCCAGCACTGGGTGAAGGGCAGGCGCACAGGTGGGGCAGGCACCAGGTGTGTGCCGCAGGCGTGGAGAGAGGCACCCACGGCCCCAGCCCCACCTTTGCCCACCGCGTCCAGGAGGCCTCCTCCGCCCGAGGCCAGCCACCCTCTGCTCTGGGGCAAAAGCACTTCCTGAGAAGTCACGCACTTGCTCAGCACGTCCTGCTTCCATGACTCGCTTCCCGAATCCCACACCGGGGAGGAGGCAGACGGAGCATTCCCGTCCCCATCCCCAGCCCCGTGCCCGGGCGGTTGCAATCTCAGACCGGGGCATCCTTCCCACACACGGGGGCACACAGGGCCCCCGCCAACCGAGGGCCCAGCGCCACGAGCTGTGTGGAAATCAGGCCAAAGGTGAGGCTGGTCTGGAATTTTCTATTGAGGCCCCGACTAGGACACCCGTGTGCATCCACCTGCCCTCGCTGGGTCTCTTGCCCAAGAACTCCTGAGAATGAAGGAGGAAGATAAACAGGTGCGGCCGGGCGCACGCCCTCCCGCCTGCGCGTGCTGCCTGCGGGGCCCGGCTCTCACTGACAGGACACCGGCCCGCCTCGCCTCGCAGGCGGCCCCTCCATGCCTGGCCTTCCTGGGGCCCGCGGGCTCCCCTCCTTCCCAGATGAAGCCCCGAGGCTCAGCAAGACCAGCTCCAGGCAGGACGGCCGGGCTCGCCAGCCCGAGTTGCTGCCGGTCATTAAAGTCGCTTAATCTTCTAGCAAAAAAGGGAAAAACAATGGAAGGAATGCCTTTATGCAGGAGGGCGGGGTGGGAACCACGCAGGAAGTTCACGCCCCCGGGGTACCAGCCCCACACACAAGTCAGGACAGGACAGGAGCCGGGAGGACCCCAGGGAAGGGGACACGGAAGGCGCTGGAGCTCACGGGCCGGGAGGGGGCAGGAGGGGCCTGGGAACCAGCAGAAGGGCCGAGCGCCCCACACCAGCCTGGCCTGGCAAACCGGGCTGAGTCAGGCGGGGGCTGGCCGGGGCGGGGCGCCTGCCGCCCCGTGGGGTTTATAGCAGCGCCCGGCGGCCGGGCGCACTGGAGCCACGAGTCCCGGCCAGCATGCTCCGCGCCCTGCTTCTCCTGCCCAGCCTCCTGGGGGCCGCCCTGGCCGGCCCCATCTCGGGCCCCCGGGAGTGCGCCAGGGGCTCCACGGAGTGGTGCCAGGACCTGCGGGCGGCCAGCGCGTGCGGGGCCCTGGAGCACTGCCGCGGCGCCGTCTGGAGCAAGCCCACCGCCAAGTCCCTGCCCTGCAGCGTGTGTCTGGATGTGGCGGCCGCCGCCAGCAATGGGCTGAACCCCGAGGCCACAGAGACCGACACCCTGACTCTGCTGATGAAGACCTGCGCATGGCTGCCCAGCCAGGAGTCTTCCATCAGATGCCAGGGGATGGTGGCCGCCCACCCCTCGGCCGTCCTGAGCCTGCTCGGCGGGGCCCCGGGCAGCAGCCCCGCCCCAGTGTGCGTGGCACTCACCCTCTGCCAGCCGCTGCAGAGGCCCCCGGCCACCCAGGGGCTCCCCCAGGAGGACACGGCCGAAGCCATGGCCCCCTTCATGGCCCCCGGGCCCGTCAGCTTCCAGCCTCCACAGGCTCCTGAGGGTGCCGTGTGCCAGGACTGTGTGCAGCTGGTCACCCGGCTCCAGGCCGCTCTGGATTCCAACCTGCCCCGCCTGGCAGAAGCCACGACACAGGAGCAGTGTGAGTCCCTGGGACCCGGCCTGGATCTGCTCTGCAAGAACTACGTCCACCGCCTTTTTGCCCCCACTGAGCAGATGCTGAGGCTGGCGGCCCCGGAGGAGGTCTGTGCCAAGGCGGCCTTCTGTGATGAGCCGGAAGCCCCCGCCCATCTGGCTCACGTGTCTGCTGAGAACGGGGTCCCTTCGCTGGAGCTGGCGTCCCCAAGGAGGAGGGGCGAGGTCCAGATGCAGGCTGGCCTGACCTGCGAGGTGTGTCTGGAGGTGGTGCAGCAGCTGGAGCAGTGGCTGGACACCAACAGCACGGAGACCATGATCAGCCATGCCCTGGAGCGCGTCTGCAATGCCATGCCCATCCAGATCGCGCACCAGTGCGTCACCCTGGTGGACAGATACAGCCCCTCCTTGGTGGAGTTCGTGACCAGAGTCTCCCCAGAGCAGGTGTGCACGGCCGTCAAGCTGTGCGGCAGCCGGAGGCGGGCCCGGTCTGTGCACGGGGCCCACGCCAGACACCGGACCCCGGCCACCACGCCAGACCCCCTGCTGGACGCGGAGGCCCAGGGTAGCTTCTGCAATGGGTGCAAGAGGCTGCTGGGGGTGTCCACCCGCAACCTGGACCGCAAGAGCACCAAGCACGACATCCTGATGGCCTTCAAGGGCGGCTGCAGCGTCCTGCCGCTGCCCTACACCATCCAGTGCAACCGCTTCGTCGCCGACTACGAGCCCGTGCTCATCGCCAGCCTCAGGGAGATGATGGACCCCGACGCCCTGTGCAAGAAGGTGGGCGCCTGCCACCCCCCCAGGCCCACGCTGCTGGGCACCGACCAGTGCGCCTTGGGCCCCAGCTTCTGGTGCAAGAGCCAGGAGCTGGCGGAGATGTGCAGGGCGCTGGAGCACTGCCAGCGCCACGTGTGGAAGGGGATGGCCCCCACGCAAGGCCAGCACGCGTGACGGGGCCACCAGAGGCCTCCCAGGCCCCGGCCCCCCTGACTCCACAGGGACCTGCGCTGCCCCACCCCCATGTCACAGATGAGAAACTGAGGTCTGGCAGAGGCGAAAGGCGCAGAACTGAGAGCGGCCCCACGCAGAGCTCCGTGCACACCGCGCCTGCGGCCTCTGGGGGCTGGACGCCGGAGCCCCTCCCTCGCACTGGCCCTGTCTTGGCCCCGCAGCGTTGCTGCCTGACAGGTCCCCGGGGCTGGGCCTCACCCACAGCCACCGGCACTTGTCACACCAGAACTCCTCAACTCAGGGCTCCTGGGGGACGCCCCGAGGTGCATGTAGGTGCGTCTGTGGGCTCATCCCGAGAGGTGCTGGGGCTTCAGAGGGGCCTCGCCATGCCCAGCACCGCAGCACCAGTCCTGTGCCCCAGCTCTCGAGCACCCCGTAACGGGCAGAGTGAGAGCCCACTGTGCCCACAGAGGGGAGCAAAGTGTGCGGGCAAGAGCCCTCGGATTAGCCCAGGGTCGTGGAGCCACAGGGTAGATGGTTGTGAAAGGCCGACCTTGGCCTGTGGGGCCCCAGATTCTCATCTGTACAGCAGGAGCGATCGTGGCTGCCTCGTGGGGATGTTGAGCCATTCAAGATGTCCCGAGCTGCCCCTTCCAGAGACCAGCATCTGCTGGGACCAGAGAAAAATAGGTGGGGGCCGGGGACCTGGCTGTGGGAGTCCTGAATAAACCGAGAGCAGCCTCCTGAGGCGTTGCTTGTCTTCATCCTCACAGAGGTGACCTGCCCAGGCCTCCTCCTCCAGGAAGCCTTCCTGGAGGCTCCCAGCCAAACACCTGCTGTGGCTGCGTCTTTGCTGGGCTGTCACTCTGGGCCTCCCCAGTGCAGTGTGAGCCCCTCGTGCCCAGGAGGGCAGGCACACAGTAGGTGTTCGTGCGCGTGTGAAGACCACATGCACATCCCTGGGATAGGAGCCACAGTCGGGCGCCTTCTCCTCTGAACAGAGACATGCAGGCCTGACTGGCAGGGCCCCAAGAGCCGCTTCTCAGAGCCTGAGCTCTCAGCCGTGTCCCGTCCACTCTCACCCCGGGAAGCAGGTCTGTGGCCACATTTCCAGACCCCCCACGCTGGCAGAGCAGGCCTGGCCCGATGGTCAGCCTCTGGCAACAAGGACAGGGAGGGTGGATCACGCTGGCCACTGGACCTGGGGGCCTGAGTGGTCATGGGAGGCAGCTGCGGCCCCAGCAGTGACCAAGGCTGTAGGCCTGCCAGCAGGTGCCCCGGGGACCATGGTGTCCCTTTCGAACAGGCTGGAGCTGCACCCTCTCCTCCGGCCCGGCTGTGAGTCTGGGAGGGACGACTGCTGGCTGCAGGGCAGCTGGGCTGCCACGGGCCCCTCAGGGCCAGGCAGGGAGGCCCGGAGGGGGAAGGGAAGGGCCCCTGCCCAGAGGCCGCTGTCCACACGGGCCTCCAAGCCTGGGCTCCACACCCACAGTCACTCGCGGTGGGGCTCGGTGGGGGCTGCCCAGTCCCCTTCCCTCTCTGGTTGGAGCCAGCTACCCCCACCACCCGCAGCGGACCACTACCGTGCCGGCCCAGCGTGCGCCCTGCCGTGTTGCCGTGACCAGCCCTGGAGCCCCGCGTGACCCCAGCCCGGGGCCCCTCCCAGGCACACGGGCCCTGCCTGCGGCCTCCGCTCTCTGGCATCACCCCCGCCCCGGCCTACAGCGCCAGTAACGCGTGGAGACTGGGGCTGCCAAGGGGCGCCCGCCTGGCTTCCCAGGGCCACTCGGGCGCGGCACCAGCCCTCTGCCAGGGAGGAGGCATCTGGGCTTCGGTCCAGTCTCTGGAAAACCCACCAATGGTGACCCCAGTGCCCGCCTGTCCTCACGGGGGCCAGGAGGGGGAGGGGGGCTGGTTTGTGTTTGTTTCCCCTTTTCTTGGCAGAAGTTTGGCCCAGATGTGACAGCACAGAGGCGCGCCTTCCGCTGCCAGGTGCTGACGCCCAGGAACCCGCGGGGCCGGCTAGAGCAGGACAGGGGCTCCTTCCCTCTGCCCTGACGTCCTCGCCTACCTCGAACACGATATTCACCCCCACGCTAGCTGGGAAGGAAGCCTGGGGACCTCGCAGCCAAGCGCGGGGTGCCCCAGGAGCCGGGGACGTGGCTGCTGGTCGTGACCCGGGGCTGCAGGCCTGTCCCCGCCCAGCCTTGCTCCCACGCTCTGCTGCGGCTCCTTATCGGTCCCCTCATCAAATTCCCCTGAGATTAGGGCGCCGGGGGGCGGTGGATCAGCTGATTGCCGAGCTGAGGCATGAGAGGTGAGAGTGTGCAGGGGCGCAGGGGCGCAGAGGCGAGGGACTCCACACAGGGCACCCCACCAAGGTCTCGGGCGGGCGGGGAGGGGGCACAGGGAGCGCTCGCCGGGGGTGCTGCAAGGGCTGGCATGCCATGGGCAGCGGCCGTGTGCACCCAGGCAGGGCCACACAGCCGGCTTCGTGCGGAGCCAAGGGCAGGGCGGGCTAATCCCAGGGCAGGCCCAGAGCCGCCAGCCGGCTCCCCAGGGGAGGGCGAGGGCAGGGTCCGCTGAACCAGCCCCTCGGCCCCCAGACTGCACAGGACAAGGTCGTGTCTCAGCGAGGTCCTGCTGGTACATGTGCTGACCCCGGCTCAGTTTACCCCTGTCCCTCCGCCGAGCCCCCCAGCCTTGCCCCCAGGTGGCCCTCTCAGCAGCCTGGCATACCCCTGAGGCCACCACTTCTGTCTATGGCCGGCGTCCCCATGCGCAAGGTCACGTGCACAGGCAGGGGCTTGCCCCAGGACCGCAGAGCCCCCCAGCAGCCCTCGAGAAAGCAGCGAGAGCGGGCGGGTCCTTCCGAGAGCTGACGCCCCGCCCCAGCCTGGCCTGCGGCAGCACCGCCGTGCTGGGCCCACCCGGCTCAGGGCGCAGTGATTTGGTGGGAAGAGGTCTCGGGCGCCGCCTAGATAGGAGCCCCCTCCCCGAGAGGAACGGGCTGGCACGGGCTGGCACGGCCCGTGCATGCTGACATTGGCGGCTCAGCCCGACTGCCCCCTGGGCGCGCCCGGCTGGGGGCGGGACCCGCGGCTGGTGTGCAGGAGGGCTGACACGTCGGGGCTGCTTATTTAGGGCGATGGGCGTGATGGGTCACCGTGTGAGGCTCACCCCTCCCAGACAGGTTTCTCGGGCCAAGGCTCCCGTGGGAGGGACGCGATGATGAAACCCGTGGGCACCTCGGGCGGGTCCCTGATTTCAATGCCACCGGAGTCCCGGGGCACACCTGCCGCTGCGGCGACAGGACAGAGGGACCCCAGGCCGCCGCGGTGAGGGCCGCGCGCCGGGACCGGACGGGGCATGGGCACCACCGGCCCGTCTCTGCTCCCGCCTAGGCCGGCCTCCTGCGGGGCGTCTCCTTCGGAGACCCTGACACAGCCGGCCCACGCGCCCCGGCCCCGGCCGCCAGCCCCCAGCCGAGCCCACCAGGGCGCCGAGTCCATGCAGCCTCACGCCCGCTCGCCCCAGCTCTCACCCCTCACCCTGGTTCACACTGGTGTGCGTGCGCTCTCGCCAGCCCACACGAGCTCACACGCGTGGGGACGGAGGCAGTCACGGCCGCGACCTCGGCCCCCACCCACCCTCCAGGCCGGGCCCGGCCCTTGCTCCCCAGCAAGGCTCGCACAGCCCTCTTGGGGCCCTGTTCCGCCCACCCAGGGCTGCGGGGAGTTCCGGAGAAAGGCCTCCACGCTGGAGTCCCGCCCCCAGCTCTGCTCTCTGTTCTCTGCAGCCCGCGCCGCCGCCCCGGCCTGGGACATGGCTCCTTGGCCTGGAAACAGCGTCGCCCCTCCCCAAACCTCTTCTCCACGCCCGCCCCGTTGCCAAAACCCGCCACCTGCTGCCCCATGCCCTGAGCGGAGAGGGGCAGTCACAGACCTAGCCCAGGGCAGAGGCTGGTGGGGGGCCTGCTCTGGCGGACACATGCAGGGGGGCGTCGTGCGAGTCCCAGCCAGGCGTGACATCACTTCCATGGCCCTGCGGCCTCCACCCAGCGCCGTGCCCCAGCAGGGCAGCCGCCAGGAGACCTGTCCGTGGCCCCCTCCCCAGCCACAGCCAGCACCCCCAGAGAGGGCAGCCTAGGGGACCACAGTCCCCCCAAGAGCCCAGTCGAGAACAGAGACCCGCTGAGCCCGGTAAGTTGTTGATTTGGGGCCGTTTGTCTCGCAGCAAAGCCGATGCCTGCGTGACACCCACGTGACCACCGCACGCCCGTGGCTGTCCTGCAGCGCCGCGCACCCAGCTCCCAAGCCCAGGCCGCACCTGTCTACCTTCCACGGGGCAGAGGCGTGGCTCTCTCACTCGACTCTGGCTCCCAGGTCTAGGGGCGCACCGGGGTGCACCTGAAATGTGCTGAAGGACAGAGATCCCTGCGCTCCAGGGCTGGGGACCCCAGATGCCATTGGGCCGACATGGCCCCGGGTGCTATCTCCCTGCAGCCAGGTTTATGGCTCCCTCCTTGAAAGCACACCCGCGCAGGGTTTACTGTTAATAGAAAAAAAAGACGGTTTTTCATATGTTCACTCGGGGAGTCTTATTAAAACGCCGTAAACCTTGAGGGCAGAGCGTGGCCCTAGTGGCTCTTCTTCCGCGGCCCCAGGGTGGGGTGGGGGTGGGCGGGGGTAATGCCTCCTGAGACCCGGCCCGACCTGGCCCAGCCCGGCCCCTCCCGACCACAAGCAGGGGGACCCTGCACCCCCCCGGGCCCTGGGGGCGAGGCAGACTCCGCTGCGCCCCGGCACCCATCAGACCCCTCCCCGCTCTCCAGGACGCACGTTTCCGGTGGCCAAGACCCGTGTCTCCCACACCCGCCTCTGCAGCCCCAACCCGCAGACCCAGGCAGAGCCCCTGGGCTGGCACACAGGCCTCTGAGCCCCCCTCGGCTCACAGCAGCAGCTCCCCAGGCCACCGTTAGCCACACTTCTCAGGACCCCTCACTCCGGAGAGGCCCACGCCTCTGTGTTCGCCCTGATACTGTGCTCTCTGGATCGCCTCCCCTGCCTGCCGCTGGAGAACCCCCATGCACCCTTCACAGCCCAGGTCAGACGCTCGTTCTGAAATGCCCGCTTACTCTCTCCTGTGGGCCCCTCAACAGTGCTCCTCTCTGACAAGGTTGCCCCATTCCCAGCCACCCCCAAGATCCAGCAAGGTGCTCATTAACATGTCGCTATCGCGGGCTCAACTGGGGCCCCAGAAGGCCTTCAACAGAGACAACCCCAGGGGCCGCATCTCCAGCTGCCTCCGTGCCAGGTGTCAGGAGGGAGGGGCTCCCGAGCACATGCACAGCCCCAGAGTCGGGCGCGGGCCCCCGCACGGGCAGAGGGGACTGCGCCCCGAGCTGGCAGAGTCTCCTGGCTTCTCTGAACGAGCCAAATGTAAGCACGTGGGGCTTTAAAAGGGGGCGCTTTCCCACCCACGCTCAGAGGAAGAGACCAGAACACAGGAGGCACGAGCCCAGGGACGCAGGCAGCCATCCCCGCGGCCTCAAGAAAGGGGTGCAGCCCGCTGACACCTTGACTTTAGCCAGTGAGGTGCTCGCCGGATTTTGACCTCCAGAACCCCGTAATGAAGCATTTGTGCTGCTTTAGGTCACTAAGCTGTGGTCACTTGATGTAACAGCCACCCACCTCCCAGCCTCTGCCCGCCGCCCTCTGCCCCCGCCACTTCCCCTGTGAGGCTCAGCCTCAGCACCAGGCGCCCATCGTGGCGCCATCGTGGACTCTCCGCCCCGGCTGGTGAGGTCCTGGAGGGGGGACACCCCATTCTGTTCATTCTGAATCTCCGATGCCCAGAGGGTGCCTGACACTTCTGGGACCTTGGGGAGCACGTGGCGATGGCCAGGGCTGGCTGGCCAAGGTGAGTGGCCTCCATCCACTCATGGGGTCAGCCGCAGAGCAGGTGCAGCCCGCAGCTGAGGGGGACATGCTCCACAGGGGGGCAGAGCACCCCAATGTGGCTTCTTTCTTGTCTAAATGACTATTTTCCTTTCCCTGGTCACATCAACAGCAGCTTCAGAAACAAACTCCACCCACACAAATGCGCTGCGCTCCCGACACCCTGAGGCTAGCGCCCGGGAGGGAAGGTCCCGGCGGAGGGTTCTCCTGAGGGAACAACCAGAAGGCGGGAGAAGCCGTGCAGGCCGCTGCCGCTGCACATCCCGACATCAGTGAAAACTGAGAATGACGCAGATGTCTAAAAATGGGGCTCTGGCTAAATAAATAATACCGCCTTCAGCTGAGCGTCTATTCCAGGCTTTGAAAATAGCGGTTTTGAAAATACGTAGGCGCATAGGAAAACGTTTAACACACACTATTAAATTGGGATTCAAAAATGATCAAACGTGTACATATTTGCATCTTGAAGAGACGCGTCAGAATATTCACCTCAGATTTGAACAGCTGCAGCCGCGCAGGCCGGGGACACGGTGGCTGTGGTGCGCGTTCTCTTCCAGTTGCCCACACTTCAGAGATGGCTGCGTGTTACCATTTTTTTGTTTTAAGGTATTTTTCAGGGAGAATTTTCGGGAGCGGAGTTAGCAGCCGCTCTATCTAGAAGCCCCTGGAAAGGGTTGACGTGAGACACGTGTCTTGAGACATGCGCGGGGCCTGGTGGCTCACAAACGCCGGGCCCAGGAGTCCTGCAGGGCAGGTGGGGACCTGGGGCCCCAGGGAGGAGAGCGGGCTCTGTGGGAGACCCCGCGAGGGGGCGTCTGAGCTCAGAGAAGAAGGGGACGTGAGGAGGGCTCGTGAGGGCCCCCTGTCCGCGGGAGTGGATGCGGGAGGCCGTGTGAATGCTGCAGGGAGACGCCACAGAGCCAGGGAGAGCGTGACAAGGTTCTCGCTAACGCAGCCCAGCACCAGATCATCACCCCAGCACCCACGGGCCACCCCCTCAGCCCCACTTCTCCAAACAGCGTGTGAACGGACCGCGGGCTGAGAGGCCGGGCTGCGGGGCTCTGAGATGACCGGCGCGGCCACGTGTCTCTATAATGAAGTGGAGGAAACGTCTGGCGACAGAGACGGGCGTGAAAACGGAACTCGGAAAATTAAAATCTGCGGTCTGCGCAGGAGAGCTGCTGAATGCAGGCAGCACGCTGCCCCGGAGGATGTCACGCATTACGTCATCCAGGCCCCCCACTCAGGGGTCGCACCCCCGCACAGATGGGGAGACTGAGGCTCTCGGGAGGAGAGCTCTGAGTCTGCCCGTGCTGTTGCTGGGAGCTCAGCCCACGTCTGCGGGCGCAGGCTGGTGCGGGCCGCAGGCAGGCAGGGGCCTGGAAAGGGGGGCCTGGTCCGGCCTCGGGAGAGGAGGCTCCAGCAGCTCCAGCTGCTCCAGCCGCCGCGCAGCCAAGGGCACGGCCCTGCTCCGTTCCCCGAGCAGGACTGCGCATCCAGGCCTCCCAGAGCGCGCCCTCAGCCAGCCTAGGCCCTGGCAGAGGAGCCGCAAGATTCCAGCCTCGTCTGGACACAGTGACCGTCCAACGCGGGGCATTTAGGAAAGTGACCGCCTACCTCTGCTTGGTGGGCGAGTTGCTCCAAAGTCCACCAGCAGGCAGGACGGGGACTCACGGGGGAGAGGGCTGGCAGCAAACTGTCCTCCCCGTGGACGTGGGCAGTGCTGCCAGAGGCCGGCGAGGGGTGGCTGAGAGGGGTGGGCTAGGGAGGGGTGTGGCGGGGTAAGCGGGACTCACCCACTCCCAGCCTGGGGCTCCTGACCTACGGCCAGCCCAGCGCTGGCCATGGACACACCTGTCCTCACATGACGGCGAAGGACGCCCCAGCTCAAGGGACGTTTCCACAGCTGCCAGCCCCAGGAGAACCCGGGACAGCCCGGCCCCCAGCAAAGGTACCACGGAGGCGGCTCGAGCCCGGTCTGGCCAGCAGGTTGGGGGTTTATGGGCTTCAAATAGCAAGTGAATAATTATCACCCGAGAAACACATGTCATGTCGGAAACCACCACCCCAACCCCAGGGAGTGCGGCCCCCGGGCCCCTCCCCGCCCTGGGCCTGCAGAGCCCAGGCGCCTCTCACAGCTGCCCCCCCAACTGCTGCTCCCCCACCTCGCTCAAACACCAAGAGGGCAGCCTGTGACAGGGCTGGCCCCCACCTGGAGACCCGTGGCCTCGGCTACTCGTTGACCAGCGCTGGGGCTGAGCCGCGGCGGGCGGATGCATCTGGGAGTCTGAGCACAGCCGGGGAGATGGCGCACTGGCCTGACTCGTGATGCCAGCCCAACCCCCGCCCACCTCCGGGCGGGAAGAAGACGGGAGACAAGCAGGGCCTCTGCGGGGACCCACCGCCCACCCTGGGCCGGCTCCACACCAGCGTCACACCCAGAGAGAGGACCCCACGGTGAGTGATTCTCAGCCTGGGCCGGCGAGAAGCCCCGCCCGCAGGGCTGACTTACCGCCACAGAGAACTTTCCAGAACCTTCCCCATATCTGCATGGTAGTACTTAGTCAGGATCAGGATCACCTGTGGCGGAGACAGAAAGAAAAGGCAGAGGTCAGCCGGTGTCGAGGGTCTTCAAGGGGAGCCCACGGCACGCCCCCACAGGGCTTGGGGTCTCCCGGGGGCTGGCCTTTCTCTGTGGGGGTCCCGGGAGGGGCCGGCACTCTTGCCTGGAGCCTTCAGACCCAGGATTGCTCTCGGGAGACTCTGGGAGCACCCTGGTCCAGAAGGGGTGACAGCTGCCGGTGGGGGGTCACCGAGCTCAGCCCCAACGGCAGGTGATGGTCCCTGGGGACATGCAGGGCTTTGTCCCCAGCACCTAGAACAGCCAGGAGCCCCAGGACAGCTGCGGGGCCCCCAGACTAGGGCAGGCCCCCACGGAAGGCTGCAGACATGCCCACGGCAGTGGGGGGACGCGCACCAGACGGCCGAGGGGGCCCACGGTCACCGCGGCACACTCGCCTGTGTGGTGTTAAAATCCAACGGTTCACCCCCACACAGGGCCCGCGGCACAAAGCCGTTTCCTCTCACGCCTGAGCAGAGAGCGCAACGGCCGACAGCACTGAGAACCAACGCACAACCCAGAGTTCCTCCGAGCAAGCGCGGGAACAGGGAGAGAAAGGGAGGGAGGATCCGCCTGCCGGGCTGATGAGGGCGCCCCCAGCCCCTGCGCTTCCCCCGCGTCCAGTTTCATTCCACTCCTGCTGTCCCTGTTCACGGTCCCTGCCACGCGGTTGCCATGGGAACCCCGGGAAGCAACCAAGGCGCACCCTCCCCCGGCTCCCCGCAGGGCAGTTGGCCTGGTTAACTTGGGGTCACCACGCTGGCCGTCCGACGGGGTCCGTGGAGGCAGCGGGACGCTCCAGCACTCGGCCTGGCTGCTCCCGCTCCCCCCGGGCTAACGGGGGACAGGCCGTCATCGCAGAGGCCGCGACGAGGGAAATAAACATCAAGCCCTCGGCAACGGCGCGCGGGGGCCGCCCTGCTCAGGAACAAAGCGGGGTCTCTCCCGGGGCCTCGGTGCCCGAGCTGGGCGGAACCTCGAGCCGGTGGCAGCGCAACAGGGCTGGGCACGCCAGGAGCGGCGTGTTTTTAACCTATTGATTTATATTTTACGGGCTTGCTGCTCCCGGAGGGGTTTCCAGGAGCCAGAGTGGGACAGCCAGGAAGGGCCCGCCCGTCCCGGGTGACTGACACCCGCAGCAGCGCCTGCCTCTGCGCCGCCTGCAACCCCGGAGCAGAGGAGGAGGTGGGCAGTGAGCCGGCCACCCCCTCAGGGCCAGAGCCAGGTCGGCCAGGGGTCAGGATTGAGTTAGGGCAAAGTTAGGGAAGGCTGGTTTAGGGCAGGGCTAGGCATAGGCAGAATTACAGTTAGGATTGGGGTTGGCACTGGGGTTAAACCTAACCTGGCATTAATTTGGGTCCAAAGAGGATCCCCTAAGTGTTAGCTTTGGGGTTGGGGTCGCAAGTGGGAGCTCTGTAAGGCACTGTTCACACGCTGTGGGTGGGGTTTGTTGGCGGCCTAGTGGGAAGAGCTGCGCTGAACAGCCTTGGCGAGATGCCACGCGTGAAGTGAAATATTCTCTGAAGTTTGTTGAATGAATAAATCAATAAACGTCCCAGCCTCACTCTGGCAGCCACAGGCACGTCTGTCCTCCTCTGTACCCCTCCCCCTTCCTCCCCTGGCATGGACTCCTGCACCTCTCCACCCACCCAGCAAGTGTGCCTTACTGGGATAGCATGGGTGCCACCTCCTCCAGGAAGCCTTCGGGGCTGTCACCCTTCCAGGTGTGAGCAGTTGATGCCACCAGCTTTCCCACAGCAGCCACGAGCTCTGAGGTGGCTCTGCCCCTCCCCCGTCCTCCCTGATGCCAGCTCCAGGAGAGGCCGGTGGCAGGGGAGAGCGCACAGCCTGCTGTGAGGCAGCCCCCCCATCTGCAGCACCAGAGGACGGTGCTCACAGGTCCTGAGTGGCAGGGACGATGCTGTGTGGCACCAAGTGTGAAGTACAGGGCCCCCTGCCAAGTGGCAGTGCCTTCCCTGCTCCACAGCCAGGGGACAGGGGGGCCCCAGCAGCCGACTGCAGGGAACAGCCACCCTCCCTGAGTCTGGGACACCCTCCTCCCCACGGAGCCGAGATTCGCCCTGAGAACTGGGGGGCACCCAGCACGTCGCCTTGACCCGGCTCCATCTCGCGGCGGGCTGTCAGCCCCTCCTGCCCCCCAAGCTCCTCGGGAAGGGGGAGGCCGCTGGGCCCGCAGCCCTGGTGGTTAGACAGCAGGCGCTGGCCGGGCTCCGGGGGCAGGGGTCTGCAGGGGGGTCCGGGGGCGGGGTCCGGGGTCCAGGGGCGGGGGCAGTGGCCAGTAGACGGACACCCCACTGGGCCATGAGGGCGTCAGGGCCAGGGCTTCAGCAGCCTGGGAGACGAGGGATTCTGATAAGGGTCTGGGGGAGGACTCGGGGCCCCTCCCCCTGGGTGAGGGTGTCAGCAGGGGTCTGGACCCGGGCCAGCCGCCCACCGAAGGGTCTGCATGGAGTCCTGCTCTCCCCGGAGGCCGGGGTTTCTGTCACGTGGGTGCAGGCAGCTGGCGAAGGACACGGCGCTCTGGGGACTGTTTCTGCAGCTTCTTGTTATTCTTTTCAAATAAAAGGTGCAACAACACAGTCCTGCTCCACCCTGGGCACCACACGCCCGGCTTCTTTCTGGGTTCGGGGGCCCTTCCGGAGCCAGGCTGCACCAGGGCCCGGCTGGGTGTGGGGGTGAAGGCGGGTGGGGGACGGGTGGGGCACGGAAGGCCACCCTCCAGCAGGCCGCAGCCCTGCGCACAGCGCCCTCCCAGCCCTGCCCCGCCGCTCGGCCTGCAGTGGGCAGTTCTGCAACATTGGGGTCTCCCTGCCCCTCCCAGGGACTCACCGCAGGCCCCACTGCCTGGGAGATTAAGAACCCTCTGCCCACACCCCGTCAAGGCTGGGCCCCCTCCTGGCCACCACAGAGCCTGGATGCCCCCTGGGCCGCGGGCTGCCTTATTGGTAAACGGGCCTGTGAGGAGGGCACAGAGGGTCTGGAGACAAGATCACTAGGATCGCATAAGTGCCCCCCAATCTAATGGCCAGTGACCTTAGAAAGAGAAGAAGGAGCCACGGCACGGTGGGGGCACCGCGGATGGAGCAGTGCTGGGGGCTGAGGCTGCCCGGGGAGGAGCCTGGCAGCCCCCACAGGGCCCTGCCCCGGCCCCTGGAGCCCGGGCCAGGCCTGCTGCCTAACCACCAGCTGCGCCGCTCGTCCTGGCGCCCTGGACAGCAGACCCTGCCCATCCAGAGGAGGACACCAGCACACTGGAAGCCACACAGCCGGGGGATCTCCTGGGCCCTGACCCCACGGCGCCCCCAGCACACAGAGCCCAACCCAGGCTGGAGGAGTTCCCCCACGGCCGGCCAGCTCCCCAGAGCTCCACTAGCTCCCTGCCCAAGCTCCGCCCAGAGAGGCTTGGTCCCCCCACCCCCCCCGCACCCTCACTGCTATTTGGAAGTCGGGGTAGCTGAGAGCCCCACCCGCCCTCCCCAGGAGCCCCGGGGCACTGGAGGAACCCAGTGTTGAAACAGCCGAGAACCACCGCGCTCGGCAAGGACCCCTATAAATCAAAATCAGTCGGTAGAAAATAAATGTAGGAACATGACCGAGGTGTGGAAAATGGAATTTTTACACCAAATCTGTTTAAGGGATAATGTATTTCCTGAAGGGGCTCCTGTGGGACTCCCAGCCCGGCCGTCCTTGGAAAACTCCGATAACTCCGTCCTCGTGGCCCGATTGGGCTTTCACGCCACCCGTCACCCCTCTCTGACAGCCAGACGCAGTTAGCGGTGACACCCCAGGGGGCTGCTCTCCCAGGCTCAGCTCCTGGGCTTCTCCGGGGCATCTTCTGACCCATCTGCGTCCGGGAGAGGCGCTGGGGGGCTATGACGTGGCCACAACACCCCTCAGCGTGGGAAGAGCCGGGGGCCTCCTACAGGGGTGGAAGCTGCAGATCCTGTTTTTAAAATAGGGTCCCCAGACTCCAGGGCCCTCCCGCCCCCGACAGCCAGACACCCTTGGAAACAAGGCCCCACACCAGCCCAGAGGGTGCTGTGCGCAAGGGGACGGGGGCAACTGGGGAACCAATGTGGGGGTGCAGGGCCCCTGCACCCCGGCCCTCAGCCTCAAGGAGTCCAGACAGGATGGCTGTTCCCCATGGCCCGTCTCTCAGGATTTCTGGAAAGCGGGGCCTGGTGGTCAGACACCACGTAGGTAGATGCCCCTCAGGGCCTGCGCCAGCACTGAGAAGACTAGTTACCTGCTGGAGAAATGGGGGGCAGCGATGAAATTGCACCCCCTTTTCAGGAACCCTTTCCTCTCAAGCACTGAGTGCGAGCTGACTTCTGTGGGCCTGCGGCCTTCGGCCTTTGAGGCCGGCTGCCACCGCACGTGTATTTAAATCACACCTCACGGCTGCGTGGGTGTCGGGAAAGAGCATTTCAGTCACGTATCCGAGCAGCCGCCTGACCTACAGTGTTTCCTGCTGATTTTCAAGGAAGTTTTAACACTTTCGTGGGTTCCCAAATGTCCTGTGTCTGCAGGAGAGAAGCCCCATGACGCCCCAGTACAGCCCCTTCCCGCCGGACCCTAGGCAGCGGCCCCTCCCCAGCCCACTCCCCCCAGGCCCTTCTCAGGGGGATCATGGCCCCCCTCAGGACCAGCTTCCACACACACACACACACCCCGCCCCCTGCGGCCCTGCAGGCTCCTGCCAAGAACCTCTAAACCTGCAGCCTCCCGCGCACCAGCACCACCTGCTGCCCGTCTCCGAGGTGCAGGCCAGTCTGGGGCCAAGCTGTCCAGGGGCCAGGAGTTCTTCCTGTCTCCCCACAGGGTGGCCTTCCTGCCCCTGCTGTGGGGGCTGGTCTCCAGCCTCCCTGGGGACACCTGGAGATGGCACTGGCAGCCCCTGTCAACTGTAACCAGTGTGCATGCAAAGCACTGGGGGTGG